ATTTGCAGTGAAACAAAACTGATGTGTATGGAGAAATGGAATAGCTTTTTTCTTGGTTTTATGATGGCAAAATCCTTGATAATTTCATTCAACTGTAGATAAATAAAAGGATTAAAATATTAGATGCTCCTGTAGGTCCGTCCACAAATTGTTTGTGAACACTCTACAGGTCACAATTTTTATCTGATTTTGACGAAACTCGATATATAGGTCTATCTCCTAAAGATCTTGGTTCTTTTAGATATTGGCACTATGGCCCCTGATTGTAAGAAAAATCATGTTTTTAGCTTGTGGACACAGGTCACAATTTTCACCCGATTTTGATGAAACTTGAAATGCATGTTTATAACCCAAAGATCTCGGTTCCTTTCGATATTTGCGCATATCGGATTGTAACTTCCTGAATTATGCCCCCTGATTGTAAGAAAAATCACGTTTTTAGCTTGGTTCCCTCATGAGGTTACAATTATTATCCAATTTAAAAAAAAACGTTTGGATATATCACTGTTACACCGTTATCGTAATGTTGAGGAATCGTAACCATGCCAGTTGATTCAATGACAGACCTTATAATACAGTGCACACACACTAACCATTCAGCCATCCCCCCCCCCCCCCCCATTAATGAAAGAATTAGAATAAAAGATGTATTTTACCAATACTGTATTTATAACAATACAGGTTTCCACAGAGCTTATTATTTAGATTATAGATACTCATGTATCTTGACAGCTATCCATTACTCACCCTATTCACACTCTTAAACATTTTTTGCTTGATATCACCAGTATGAGGAAGCTGGAGTTAAGCCCCACGAATGAACGAATGCAATAATTTAGGTAAAAACAACAGTAGCAAATTATTATTATTATTTTAATATTCTTGCTATATACATGTATATATATGGGGTTATTGGAGGGTTCCTGGTTCAACTGGACCATTTCCACAATGATTTTGCTTAATAGTCAAATCCAGGGTTGGACAGGCAACATGTATTATATTATTGTTTAGTGACAACTAGGAATTGAAAGAAATGTGTAAAATGTCAGCTAAAATTTTTTATACAGCCACATTTTCATGTGGGCGTATATTGTCGTCGCCCCTGTCCGTCCATCCACAATTGTTTGTGAACAGTCTACAGGTCACAATTTTTATACGATTTCAATGAAACTTGAAATATAGGTTTATCACCCTAATTTTTATCCGATTTGGTTTAAACTTGAAATGTAGGTTTATAACCCAAAGATCTTGGTTCCTTTCGATATTCGTGCATATCGGACCGTAACTTCCTGAATTATGGCCCCTGATTGTACGAAAAATCGCGTTTTTAGCTTGTGGACCCTATAGAGGTCATAATTTTTATCCGATTTAAAAAAACGTATTGTTATATCACCGTTACACCCTAAGGATGGCTGAGTTCGAATTTCGTGAAAATCGGCCCAAAACTGACAGACAAAATGGCTGCCGTTCGTTCTCAAATAGTGTAAAAATATGGTATATCAAGGTTGTGGACCCTAATTTTTATCCGATTTTGTTGAAACTTGAAATGTGAGTTTATAACCCAAAGATCTCAGTTCCTTTCGATATTCGCGCATATCGGACCATAACTTCCTGAATTATGGCCCCTGATTGTACGAAAAATCGCTATTTTAGCTTGTGGGCCCTATAGAGGTCATAATTTTTATCCGATTTAAAAAAACGTATAAATATATCACCGTTACACCCTAATGACGGCTGAGTTCGAATTTTGTGAAAATCAACCCAAAACTGACAGACAAAATGGCTGCCCCTCGTTCTCAAATAGCGTAAAAAAAGTATGGTATATCAAGGTTGTGGACCCTATAGGGGTCACAATTTTTATCTGATTTTGTTGAAACTTGAAATGTAAGTTTATAACCCAAAGATCTCGGTTCTTTTCGATATTTGCGCATATCAAATTTTAATTTTCTGAATTATGGCCCTTGATTGTAGGAAAATCACTTTCTTTTTAGCTTGTTCTCTATCCATCTCTCGAAAATGTGGGCGTATTCTGCCTGGCAGGGGCTGGTTCATTTCTGACAAAGTTTTCTATACATACATATATGTGACATATACTACATGTATTAAAGTTTTACATGTTTATGAGCCATAAGCTGACATGACAATGCTTGAATGATTCTCCCAATGGGGAAAGGCTTTTATTTGGGATGGAGAGATAGAGGAAAATTAAACTTTCTTGAACTCCCCATTTTCTTTCTAAAAGGTCCTGAATTCATGAATTTGATCTCCTGACCTATTCTTCTAAAGTAACATATAGGGGATACTCGATTAAACATTCTAGAATTGAATTCGCTAAATCTCACATATAGTAACAATCGAGTGAAAAGGGGATTTCTGGCTACAACGTATGTGCCAAGCGCATAAAAAAAAAAAACATCCCAACCAATATGATAGCTGAAACATATTGGTTGTGCTTAATTACTGTCATACCGTTGGTTCGAACTCAAGAAGGTGTTCAGTTTCGAATAAATTTTATTGCATATTATACTAGTCCAGTCTTCCATTCTCACTCACTGCCAACGACAACAGCCCAGCCCAGCGTGTGTTTCTCTCCCTTCCTTCTCATTGGTTATCTTTCTCTCCCCACTCCCTCAAAGCCTTATGGAATAAGATTACAGATTAAAGGTGCATTCACACAGTTACTGTTTGTCACAATTATGTCTCAATTCTACTCACACCACCACTGTTGTCAGGACTGACAGAACTGTGATGGGACTGTATTCCACTTCACTCGATTGCAATTCCGGACTGATAATCGAGCATTCCCATGGATAACGATGAAAATTTGTTTTTAATTTAAGATGATGTTCATCAGAGAACAAATAAATTGTAAATTTCATAGTAATATATTATAGAATTATGGTAAGAAGTTTAAATCCACAACTACGAGTTCTTAAATTTTTATACAGCTCTAGAGGCTAAGGTTAATATCCAATTGACTTTAAATTTATACACAGTGTTTATGGCTCTTGATCACTTTGAAATATCTTGTGGACACTCTAGAGGCTAAAGTTAATATCCGATTGACTTTAAATTTATGCACAGTGTCTAAGGTCATGTGGCGAAAATCCTATAGATTTTCAACAATTTCCGATAATTACTGAGAGTTATGGCCCTTGATTACTTAGAAAAAATCTTGTGTATGCTCTGCAGGCCAAAGTAATTATTCGATTGACTTTAGATTGATAAACAGAGTTTAAGGTCTTGAGATGAACAAGTATATTGGCTTTCAATGATTTTTGATAACTTGAACAGTTAAATCCATGATATTAAATGTTTTGTATACTAAATGTTAGCATGGGGCAGAACTAGAAGCCAAACAAATTCTAATTATTTTCTGATAATATGTAGCACCATGGGCCTTTCTGTCTCACGTGGAGAGCGGGTCAGGCCAAACCGGTCGCCACATCCTATGTACGACCCATGCATCTTTTCTTACTACATATTTTAGTGGCCTTGTGATCGTCTAGAATTTGTCTCTAGCTGTCTTTATTTCTGCTTCACTTTGTGTATTTACTTTTTACTGTTTTCTTAGACGTTTGTCTTCTCAGTAGTTATAACAATGTAACTGTTCGTTTTTACATTTTATATATCAAGCTGGATACATCTAAGCATAGTATAGAATGCAATACTAAAGTTATTCTTAACTCTAGCCAGCCAGACTCGATATGGGCGAGTCTGCTGAATAGAAACTTCTACATCTTTTTCCTTCTAGAACCAAGCTTCTGTCTAACGAATTCTCACAAATATGATAGTTTTGTAGCTTTTGGCTCTGGATCTTCAATTATCTAATTGGTCAAATAACATGTACCGGTAAATAAGTATAGAGATTGGTCAAACAAGCCAAATAATGCAATCGTAATTTTCCGTCACATGTTTTTCGACACAATCTATCGTTGAACTCAGACCCCCTTTCCCGTTATTCACAAAAAATTACATAAACAATTAATTTGCGTTTTAAATAAACTCATACCATAGCTAATACTGACAATAGAGAATAATTTGTAAAGATAAAAATGTTGTTTTAACCCATCTTATTTCTCTATTCCTTGTCTATAAATTTAAAAAACCATGTCGCAACAACGATAGTGCTACAAATTACTTAATGAGTTGTTATTGTTATGGAGATTTTAGTGTATTATAAATGTTTCATTATCGACGAAAGAAAAATATGCAACAACTCTTGATGACTGTCCGGACAAGATTTAGCTACTGTGGGAATATGTTTCGTTGCCTGCCAACCTATCTTTGAAAATGATGTCAGAGCTTTATAAAAAATGTCTAACTGGAGAGAGGGAATGATGTCCTATTCTTTTAGACTCAAATGTTTGAGTAGAATTAATTCCAGTTTTCAACATAATACATGTATGCAACATTTTATCTAATTTGACCATTGAACAATCAAAACATAAAGTTACTATAGATTGTCATACATATTGATTCCTTTCTGTCGCTTAGCAACCAGACTAGTTCAAGCTCAAGATCACAATAGACAGTTATTCCAATTTAGGGGTTTTGATGTAATCAAGTTTGAAACATACAATTTCCATATTAATTAGAAGAGTCATTATGTTGTAATCAAAGTTGACAAAAAATATATCTTTCCCTTTTATAGATGGTATACATATAGAAATACAGTACATGTACATGTACATGTAGAAATAATCCTATCGTGAAAGTACATGTACATAGAATTAAAAATTGTATGCCTTATCTTTATATGTGAAGTATGATTCTTTTTAAGAAACATGTTGAAATGGCATTACCTTTTTTTACACCTCTTATTTTGCCATTCAGAAAATACAATAATGTCAAAAAAGGAACTTGGGTATATTTATCATTGAATATTCCTCTGTGTTATGTAGTGCAGGGAGCTGCAGTGCCTCAGTGAATAAGATGCTCGCTTGCTAACTAGGAGGTCTAAGGTTTACTCACGGTGTTGTCCGAGAAAGATCCTCAGGTTTTTCCGGTGCAGTTCCCCCTTGTTAGTGGTGCAGGACAGAAGGCAAAAGAACAGTGTCTAGTTGTTTGGATGGCACAAAAAAACCAAAGTACAATGAACACATATTATGTGTGCATATAAAAGAACTATTGACAGTTTGAATGTGATATAAGAGTAGGCAGTAGCACTGCTTTCTGGGCAAAATTTCCCACATAGCACACTTTATAGGTGTATGTACATCTCCATTAGCCCAGTTGGTGCAGAAAAGTACATGTATTACATTAGACCCCATTTCATTTCGAGGAGTGCATGCCGTTATCAACATTCCCCCAATGTATACTGCATTCAGTATTTATCACTGTGACTAACTAAACACTAAACAGCTAAAAACGACACCAAATCTGCAGAGTGGGATAGTGGAGTAAGGAGAGACCACGATAAGACAGGTCTGGCACCTAAACACTAATCCCACAAAGACGACATCTACCAATCCAGAAGAGAAATCGACTACCAACACATTACTTTTTGTTTTTTGTATTTAATAAAAAGATGAATATCCAACTAAACCTATTCCATGGCCTAAAGGCCGCAAATGGAAAGATTGCTAAATCATATTCTTAAAACAGGAAGAAGCTTCGGCTCTCCTAAGCCTTGTCTGTGATATCACTTCTGTGGAAGCGTTAAAACAACAGGTAGTAGTAGTATGTATAGCGGTTAGCGTCTTCGCTCTTGCACAATTCAAGAATCACCTGCGCTAGACTATGGTTCAGAAGCACATGAAAGCAAAATCATCAGTTCCAGTTGGTACCATCCCTCTGGTTCCTGTACTCAAAGTAACCATATTCTGGTCTGAAATCAATTGTCTCGGAATCCTTATGATCCCAAAATGATATTTAAACAGGGCTTTTTGCCCTTATTTAATAAAATACAGTAGCTACTTTGAGGATCAATCAACATTAATATATACATTTCATCGATTCAGAATTAACCCCATTAACGAGAAAGTTAAAATCTAGACATAAAAAAATCAATGGATTGTATTTGATTTAAATGGATAAGAATACAGATTAGAATTAATTTAAGAAAATTAGGCTACATAGGCTTATAGATACAAGAGATACGAGCTGTCATGGTTAACATCATTTTTTTCTAAAATCTTCCGGGGTTGGTTTTATTAAATAAAAATGGAAACATTTAAAAAATCAAATATATTAAATTATATTAACACACCTAAAATAAATTTAAATTATTTAATTACAAAAGTAAACACAATGATAGTTCTTACTGTAGATATTATTTGATTTACTATCTCATTTATAAATTCATGAAGAGAGTGAGAAAGAAATGGGGTTTTAAACGTCCATTTTAGAAGTGGGAGGAAGCCACTGGTAAAACTAACCGTTAATCAGGCGACCCTTCTACTTTTCACATGTAATTTAAGTCTTGGACTGAAACCATGACTTGTATAGTTAGCTGGCCACTCCCCTTAAATTTGTAAGATATAATATTGTCACCATCAAAAGTATGCTCGAAAATATAAGGGTGTTATATTTTGTGCGATAAAAAACAAATCAAACTGTGTCTTTATGAATACCTGTAATATGTCTGAACATTATAATTATCCTTGACATAAGGGTTTTATTCTTTTAGATTATTGATGACAACAGGATATCAATTTCCTGACACGACATGATTCCATAGTACGCAATTTATCACAGATCTTCTAGTAGGATAAAATCACAAAAAAAAGAAACCGCATGATCCTCGTTCAAAATGTTTTATAATAATTGTATTAACAGATGAGGTAGAAAATTAGAATTTGTTAGGAGTGTGAATGAAGGCAGTGGAAACTCAGATACCATTCACAGTCTGATTCTCTGCTAAAAGACTTTTCAAAACTAATATCAGAATCTAACTGAATAAATTGACTAGAATAAATTAGTCATATACTTATATTCTAATTCATGTAGTTTTATAAATGCTGGCTGGATGTGTTGAAATATTTTGACAAAATTTTAAATGAGGTTTAGCGACCTTTTTAAACATACCTGTTTCATTAACAAATATATTTTGACATGCTTGAAATTTATACCATTTAGAGATCCAACTGTAATAAAAAAAGAAAGATAAGGAGGAACTTCTGATCCTTTCATTTAACCTCTCTCAATCCAAGTTTTTGCTTAAAAAGGGCTTATGGGTAGATATTACCAATCCTGTTTAATTTACCTCCTGCTTATAAGGATCTATAAAGACTATTGGTACAACCATCATTCCTCTTATACAATGTTTTACATTGAGTGTTTAATATCTGAAAAAAGAAAAGATTGTTGTTATATTGAGAGTACTACATATTGTAAATCTCCAGTAGACCTACAAGTAAATTTAAGCATGTGAGGTACATTTTAATCTAAATGTTCTACCCAGGAATATAATTTGATGATCTGATGAGAATTGTCTTAATTAGTAAAACCGTTGCCAAAATTTGTTAAAAAATTAAAAAAAAAAACATGTGTATTTTGGTCCAAAACTTTACTAAATCAAAGCAACCTTTGAACTGTATTAATATGATACTGCAAGGTAATCTAATCGCAAGATCTCTGAATAATGAATTATGGTTTTCACAAACATTCTTGAAATTTGACTTGAACATTAAACTATATTTGACAATTTGATATCATTCCTGGGGAGTCCTGGGGGTGGCTGAAGGGTTCAAGGTGGTGCACTATGTATCATGTGTAGTCATCAACATTTTAGTCCTATAATACATGTAGTTGTGTTGAACTGACATTAAACTCATTTCTCTCACTACTCTCTCATGATATTCGATGATTTTGAGAGTGAAATCAAAAAGTATATAAAAGATGGGATGCCCATCCCAGAGGTGACCGTGGTCATTAACATATGAGCTCTAGGTTGTAAAGGGTTAAATGATATTACATCCCATTGACTTTCTTTCCTACATGTATTTTTGCAAGTAGAACAGCCATAGAAGAAAATAGATTTTTTGCCTTTTCTTTAAACCTAGTTTTTTTCCTGTTTCCCTATGTGTCTACTTTATAGAAGTAAAACATCATTTCATTTATTTTTATGCTGCATGTACATGTAGCATGTAGACACAAATAAATCTTTAATTAAGTAAATTAAAATATACTGTAGTCTTGGGAAAAGATTAATTCTATTATTCCTCCTGATTAAAAAGTTGGTTCATGTCAGACAATTTTATTGAAGTTTTCTCTGGTGATACAGATTTAATGAAATGTTGATGCTTTGGGACACGATAACTTTAGTTCTAATTAAGAGAGAGTGATGAAACTTGGTGTATAGTTTCATTACATCAATACCTTCATTAAGTGCAGTAATGAGCATTTTCTGCAGAGGGTAAGCAGAGCGATAAATAATTTGATTGGTCGAGACTTTGGAGCACAATAACTCTCCTTCTAATTGAGATAAAATGTTCAATCTTTGTGTAGGCGTTCATTAGGGTAAGCAGGAATAAGCAGCATGTTTGGTTAATGCTTTGGAACACAATAACTTGGGATCTAATTAAGGGAGAATGATGAAACCTGATCTGATCTATGACATCAATACCTTGAAGAAGTTCGATAATGAGCTTTTTCGGGTAAGCAGAGCAATAAGCTATTTGATTGGTTGAGATTTTGGAGCTCGACTACTTTGATTCTAATTGAGTAATAGTGTTGAAACTGTGTGTATAGAATGTTTAAACTTGATTAGGTGAATGTCTTGACAGAGTTCAATGATTAACATTTCCCACTAAAGCTAAGCAAAGTTAACAATTTCATTGGTTGATGCTTTGGGATAAGATAACTTTGATTCTAACTGATGGAAAGTAATGAAACTTAGTGTATAGTTTCACTACCAGGTACTTCAACACCTTGACTGTTTGGCCGTGAACATTTTATGCTTAGACTAAGTATAAATAAACAGTTTGATTGCTCGATACTTTTGAAAAAGATAAATGTGCAATGATTAATATTTGCCATCTTTATATTTTGGGATTTGGCGGGGGCACATCAGCCTCACTGTTGGCTTATTTCATACCAATTTTTATCTAAATCATACTAAAACTGCGTGACAAAATGGCCGCTCCTCATATGCAAATAGTGTAAACATCTGGTATACCAAGGTTGTGGACCCTCTATAGATCACAATTTTGATCTGATACGTGTTTATAACCCAAAGATCTTGGTTCCTTTCACTATTCGTGCATATTGGATTGTAACTTCCTGAATTATGGCCCTTGATTGTACGAAAAATCTCGTTTTTAGCTTGGTCCCTGTAGAGGTCACAATTTTTATCCGATTTAAAAAAAAGTGTGAATATATCACCGTAACAAGTTACACACTAAGTATGGTTAAGTTCAAATTTCGTGAAAATCGGACCAAAACTGCTGGACAAAATTTATATATTTATATCACAAAGATCTTGGTTCCTTTTGATAATCGCACATATCCGAACCTAACTTCCTGGATTATGGCCCCTGATTGTTAAAAAAAATCGCATTTTTATTTTGTGGATTCTCTAAGAAGTCACAATTTTTTATCCGATTTTAAAAACCATTTAGATATATCACCATTCCACCATAGTGAAGGTTGAATTCATATTTCGGGAAAATCGAAATGAAACTGCCATACAAAATGACCACTCTTTGTACGCAAATTGTATAAAAGTATGTTATATGAAGGTTGTGGACTCTCTAGAGGTCACAATTCTTATCCGATTTTGATGAAACTTAAAATATATCTTTATATCCCAAAGATCTCAATCCCTTTTGATATTTGCACATTTCAGGCCATACCTTGCTGGAATATGGCCCCTGAATATACGAAAAATCGCTTTTGTTTTTAGCTTGTTCTCTATAAATCTCTTGCAAAATGTGGGTGTATCTTGCCTGGCAACCTCTGGTTTAGAAGACTTTAGAAGCAAATCAAGAAAATATTAACACCGATATCATATAGTGTATTGCTTCATCAAAAGCATCACAGATAAAACCATTTATTACTTGTGTCAAAGATATTACAAATAATGTTATTGGATATTTTCCATCTATTATATATATATTATTGTTCTATATGAATTGAAGCAGTTAAATGGCAAAGTTTTTATAAACAAAATACAAATTTCCCCCAGGAATTATAATCGTGAATCCAATTGACAGAATTGAATTATAGGATCCGATAATATTTTATATTAAATGCCAGTCTTTTTCTTCGAACAGGGTATCACCCAGACATTAACAAAGAGCAGATCAGAATATGCTCTTTTCATTTAGATTGTGATTAAAGAAAATTAATAGCCAATAAAAACAAGTGTTATGGAAAATAGAAATGTAAATAATGCATATCGCATCGACACATCGACAGAAAAATTACAAGAGCCCAGATTTAATCATTGTCGTTATTCGTGGATGAAATCTGTTTCCTGAAAGGGATTACTATTATGTCAACTTTGCGTGGTCTTTTATTGGTATTTGGTTGCATTTCTACAGTTAAAAAAATCATCAGGTTGCCTTGGAAACAGCAGGAGTAATGGAATGGTGGTTCTGTTTTAGATGGGATTATTCAGACAGTTTCTTGCGTTAGGATGCTCTTATTATTAAAATCAATTCGGAACCACGTCTTTGAGCTTCTGTCAATATGGAAGTAAGTTTGAAGGAATGTGGGTAAATTAGACAGGATTACTCTTTCAGGCACCGCTCATCAATATTCTCTTAGATAATGAAGAGATGGAATCCGAGGAATATTGGATGAGCTGTCATTTAAAATGGTTACAGGCCAAATACAGTAAATAATTGGCCTCCATCTCAACTCATCTATTAAGAGAAAAAAAGCAATGTAAGTTCTGTTGCTTTTGTGTGTGTGTGTGTGTGTGATAGAAATCACAGGAATAATGCTGGAGGAGTGTACATAAATTGAAATATTAGTATTCCCAAAACAATTTTATAATTGAATGATAAACTTCCTAACTTCATTGGTTTTCTCCTGGTCCTCCAATTTCCTCCCACTACTAATGAACCCTACCAGCAGACAAATAAAGGAAATAAATATGTACTATATGTTAGATCCAAAAAAATTTGGTTTCTTTTAAGTGGTTGTTAAACCCCATTTCTCTCTTCCTCTAAAATAAACTCACAAATTTCAAGGGCAGGTATTGGCCAAATTCCTTGTCCACTTGAGGCAATCAAAAAAAAATCAACATTAAATGTTATTACACTGATATATCTCATAATGCAAGCAAAATAGATATTTATTAAAAAGAATTGGTCAATGCTTTTTAGTGGGTCACTGCTTAAAAGCATTCAGGTACATGAGAGTTATGAATTGCTTGAAATGTTCATGAAAGTATAGCATGCCTTGTCCAGTGCATCATATAGAACTACAAGCAATTTTATTGATTTGGCCTACAGACCCACTTTCCTTTGAATTAACATGGAGTTGTACTGTATATTGTCAGTGCCCCTGTCCAGCAATTTCTTGTTTTAATAATTTATAAACATATCGTTTACATTTGTGATACATATCAGGGATTTCTGAACTTCCAGAGTAATTGCCATTGATAACTTTTTATAATCTTGTGAATGTTCTGTCGACAAATGTTATCATCCGCTCTGTTTGCAATTTATATGCATTGTTCAGATTAGTGAAACAAAGAAGAATGGTTCCAGTGTGGGATTTTGTTGCCTGGCAACCTATCATTTTAACTGAATGGGTTTGTTACTCTAATATTAATTCTAAGCCAAAATATAAATGAAAGTAAAGTATTGAATGATCATGATATGACAATATCCTACAATGTATATATTCTGAAATCGAGTTAAGATGGTCTACATGATATTAAAATCTATATTAAGAAAGTATATATAATAGGTTTCCTTAAATAGGGAATAATGAATAGAGATTAAAATGGCATTAATTTAACATTGGTCTAAGCTTGTCTTTCGGCTAACTGAGTTCTTAAGATTATATGTAAACACTGATTACTGATGAAAAGATAAGTAACTTTATGATGAAAAGCTCTCCTACAAACATGAATAGAAATATTTAAAGTCAGATTTTTTTCTTTTATTTTTTTGTTTACCAGAATCATCTCTATTATGTGTTTGTGTTGCTTTAAAAACATTTTTAGAAGTGTAGTGAACTTAAATTTAAATCTGAATTGAGGAAAAAATGGACCTCTTTTAAACCTGACTGATAATGGATGTGACCTGAAATGAAGACCAGTAGTACCAAAATTTGGGAATCTTAGCTTTATCAAGGACTAAATTTAATTGGTAGTCATTGACCAAGTTTACCTATATATAACTACTTAATTGAACTTGTGAAATTCTATTTGCTAATCTAATAGCCTGTTCAGATGCTAAAGTTAAACTGATTTAAAATCCTGGCGATCGTTAAACCAGTTTAACTTTATTGTCGAAACACTAAGATGGGGCAAATACAGTTCCAGCTCTCTATCTTCGAGAATGCTTTTGTTAAAAACTGTTCCAATTAGCTTTGGGCATGCACAGTAAGTTATCTTCATGGCAAAAAAACAACATATGCGTAATTAACTCTAATCTTTAACCGACAAGGTAAAAATAAACATACAATGCAGATTTTCTTCTATTAAACACAGTCTAAAACAAGATTGTGAAAGTTTTAATGCATGGGTTGAAAAATCATAACACTATTGGTCAGTGAATGAATTGAAATTGTCTGCATTTGAACTTCAGATAAACAGTTCTGCTCCTACTCACTCTATTTATAAAGTAGCCCATGTTACAAGGAGATGTACTGTTTTCTGTGGATAATATATATTAAAGTATAGCTAAGTCTCTAACTAAATATCATCCAAAGTCTTCGACATTGAAAACACAAATTATTTGTCAATTTAAATCAACATTGATGTTGTGATCTTGCCGGGAAAGGATGGTCTTCTGATGTCCAATATTTAAGACAAAATAAACATTTTACCATTGGTACACGAATTGTGTACCATAATGTGTTTCAGTCCCATTTCTATCAAGGGACTCAAAGAACGAGGCTAGACATATTCCACAAGTCATGACAAACAGTGACGGCATATTCTTATCTGGAGAGCATGCGCAATAAATACTATGTCAACTGGAATAACCAGACACTAGAGATTGCCATTCAATTGAGACTTCTGGTGTATTTCGCCGAACATAACTGATTTGAAATTAGAGTAAAATGGAAACGATTGGATGTAAATCAGTTTATATACATTCATATTACATTATTATATGTGTTGTGACCCATTGTGTCAATTTCTAGTTCCCAAATATTAGCGATTTAGCTCCTTTAATACTATTTATAGTAAGCTTGAATCAACTTCCAATTTATACAGTGTTGCTACTCTTCAAAGTAAAACCACAAACCTAATTCCACCCAAACCAACTTCACTAATGTATACTCGTGTCAATAAAATCTAACAGCTTAGTCTTAATTTGGCCTGGGATCTGACAAGAAATAATCAATAAAAATGTTAAATGTCTTCAGAAATTCTAGATCTGCTTTATAAGTTATGGCAAGTCTTGGTAGAATTTATTAAAGCCAGCTATACTATTGATTAAGTGTCAGTTTTAGTGCTGCAAGCATACATTTAATTCAAACTAACTTTTACTATGAAGACGTTTTTCTGCCTTTAAATTACTAGTTATTAAACAAATAGAAAGATAGGTCAATAACCAATTTCATTAACAGACAAATAAGGTATAAAAAGTATTTTTTAAACTGTAGTTAAGAAGCTTAAGATAAAAAATATAGTTATTATATTATCAAATCATTGATAAAGCTCATATTTTCACAAAATGTTCTCAGATTAAAGGTTGGATAATCTCTTGACATTTATGTAAGTAGATAGGAGAGGTGTCATTTAGGCCATTCTCTTTCAAAATTATAATGAAGTATTGTTCATAAAGTTTTTATGGCTAGATTATTTTACCCACCAAACAGATCTTAAAAAGCACTAATAACTTACTAAAAAAAAGGTCTAACAGAATCAAAGAACTATTTGACTGGGAAAAGCCTGTCATACTGACACCTGATGGCCCAGTGTTCCTTTAATTGTCATTTTATAAAGGATCAGATGTTTCTCTGCCTTTAAACTGCTATGTGTACAGTTAGTTACTCAATTGTATTAAGACATCGGATGACACATTATCGGCTAACTCATATTATTACAAGGACTCTATTTCTCTAAGGTTCTAGAATTAATCAAAAAAATAGATTATTACGGATTTATACCGGAGCCAAAATCTAATTCAAAAGGACTCATTCAAAGAGCACTAACAAAATTATGCTGGCCATTATTTTGAGCCAGAATTTCACAATAAGAAATAATCTAGTGTTTAAATTGCTAGCTTATATAAACACCCAGGCGTTTTTTAATAACTTGTTTTGTTAAACATGTCCCCGCTAGTTATTAGATTCCTTATCTGGTGTTTCCGTTCAGTTCTCCAGTGCATTTATCCTGTTGTTGCCTACACATTTAATAAATTAGAAAAAAGATCCCTTGGCACTGCGATGCAACTTTACAAAGAGATCTTTTTCCTCTTCAATGCACAACTAATTTAATTTTTTAAACAAATGTATCAAGAGAGACAAACAGTTGATAATTTCCTGAAATTGTCAATTGTGACAGAATTTGATATTTTTCATTTACAAAATGGTTGATAATTTGATGCATTTTGCATACTGCACAGTAAAGCAGACAAACTTATCCAAACACAGAGGGAGACAGTAGGGAGAGGAGAGAGTACAATGTTAATTGCTGCAGATTAAATTCAGAAATAAAACTAAACTAGAACTCCGAAGGAGTACCGACTACTGACGTGTTTCGGTACGTCAGGTCGTACCTTGTCATGTCAATAATCAAGTTACACCATTAATTATTGAGTATAGTAACATCCAATACCTATTAAAGAGGAAAAAATGGTCATTTTCAACTCGTAATAAAACAGGAAGTTATACTTGAAGACCAAACTTTTGATATTAATTGTTAGTAGACATCAGGGTCATCATATCTACAAAGGTCAAGGGTCATTGAAAGGTTAGGTCACCGATAGGTCAAAAGTCAAACAAAATTCAAAGTGAAACTGGAAGTAAACGAAATCGAAATTCAAAAATTGCCTCCCTAAGAATTGTTGCCATTTGGAGTAGGTTCAAAACAAAAAAAAAGTTTTGGAACAAATTCTCTGAAAATGAAAGATAATATCTAGGGCTAACTCTACCATATGTCATTTTTGGTCTATTTTTAAAATGGAGAGAACCATTCATGTTCGTGAAAAATCGGAAAGCCTCAGTAATTTCTAGTAGTTTCTGGAACCACAAAAAGTTTTAATATACCATTTTGGAGGTATCAATGTGTTTCTTATTGCTACCAAGTTTCAACTTGATACATTTAGATAACATTTCAGGCCTAAAGAAAGACCTGCAATTGGCAGATTTAACTCTTGCATAATGTATGTTTAATATAATAACCGATACATAAGCAGTCTGATTTTATTTTTTGTCCCATCCGTAAAACACCATTGTCAAAAATAAACCAATTTATATTTAATAAATAGATCCACGCCAACCACATCTATGTTGGCAGAATGTTTGCACCATGTACAGTTTTGTGATTAAATTTCACAAAAAAAAATAATAATAAAAACACTTACGAAAACAATAGGTGTTTCGACCGAAGGACCGAAACACGTAATTATCTACATTGATGGTGATTAAAAATGAATTCAAAAGTTGTGTTATAGAGTTTCATTGATTGTTTTAGGCAGTTGGAAGAAGCCTAATTGTGATCTTATTACATATAAATAAAGCAAAATTAGTCTTTTTTCAGTGTTGAAATAATGCTTCAGCATCATTATTGATGAACTAGTTTATAACTTGAAATACATCTACAGTAGCTGTTTTGATGTTGGGTTCATTTGGACCCGGAACCAAAGCGCTACTCATCGTGCAGCGCTCTTCAAAAGAGCCCAAGGCTCTGCCAATTTAAATACGATCGACATAAAACTTGGTATGCTTGTTTGATATGACATCACAATTCCAAGAAGGCTGCGATAAAGGCACACTCAGTTCCTGTTCCATAGTACTCGTCCTGTACTTCTTTTTTAAAGAGAGGAAATATAACTTTGAACTCAAAAGTTATATAATATTCAAAACAGACACATCCAAACATCTACTTACTTTGTGTTCATAGAAAATTATAAATTTGCCAGAGCAGACAGCACAATATACTTGTTTCTTCAGTCAGTAATTTTTCTGATGATCTTGTTTTATAAATCTTAATTCAATTATTTCTTTTTTACTGATTTGATTACATTGTTTAAATTATGTATTTAGTTAAAGATAAATTATGAAATCGTCTGATGGCTTTACACTGTTTATATTTATTACATGTATATAAATGATAAGTAAATGTACATATCATTAACCACCTCATAGATATTACTTGTTCAAATTTACATAAATATCCTAATACCATATCCCAAATTTATAACCAGAAAATAGCTGTTGTGTATTAACTATTTTATACACTTAATATAATGATGTGCATTAATTTTCATATTCCCAGTACGAAATGATATATAAATATTGTGATAGGAAATGGTTCATCATATATCTAAACAAAGCTATTACCATTAATGGAGGTCTACTGCTTCAGAAATAATCTAATTTGATATAATGGACATCTCACAGTAACTTTTTCGCATTTACGTAAATCCATAGTTGTATTGATAAATAAATTGGATTCTAAGGTTTGCTCGCTTGCATTAAAATCACATGATGAGCTTGATTATATATTAAGCAAGCCTTGTCTACCCAATGAGTCCTGATCTATGTAATTGGCAAGGGCTTGGAGTTTGCGTAGCTACATGTACGCGTGTACTGTATATATTATGACAGTTTCCCCTCATATTATAATAATTTTCTTTGTTCAATGAAATATTCACGTCTGTTTATATATGAGTGAATTATTAATTAGCAAAGGGAGCATTCCTCATTCCCCCTCCCCAAAAATTTGGTAAATTTGTTACCAAATAATGCTAAGAAATAGACTATGGTGAATGCATACAGAAATAAAGGCTATTCTAGCTGAGAGAATCAGTAAAAATCAATATTAGAACATTACCAGCTCTTCTTGTCTTGCAGACGCGAGATCTAATGCCAGACAGCACCTGACTCTGGAATTCCTTTACACATTTAAAAATGGACACTGATTCTAATGATGGGACGGCCACAGAAAGTCTAAATGGAGAAACAAAACCAGATCCAGCCAAACTTGCTCAAACAGCAATAATTAAACAGGTAAGCCATCTTGGTTTCTGCTCTTCTGTCCGTCAGCTCTGAGCCTCTCTCAGGTAGTTACATAGTTTATGCAGGTAATAATTCAAACTCATTAACAATCTATGTTAATTATATGGAATGAACCATCTCTGACTTTACCATTATTTTTACTAATGTTGACAACACTCCTGTTGCTGGGGGGGATACTGAAAAGCTTATGGCTCCATATTGGTTCCAAATGGAATAAGGTGTTAGGAAAGCGCCAAGAAGAGTGGAGGAAGAACTTGCGAGCATCTTGTTGGCTGATAATTTCAAACATATTTTATCTTAAATATCGTTTACAATGAGACTGCCTGCCATAAGGTATGTATATTACTTATGTTCAACTTGGATCAATGTACATTTTCAAACATGGTTACGGAAACCACAGCATTTTGGCGAGAATATTTGGATTATTGACAGGAAGGGTGAGGGTGATTTTGTCTTAAATAAAGATGGAGGCATACAGTGAGCTAGCTAAGATAAACTATTGAATTGGTAGTGCTTGACTGATTTAGCCACTAGCAACATGATTCTACATTATGATTCTGGATTAAATAATTTGATCTCATTATACCACATTATCTTACTGCTTTAACACCGTACCACAGTATACTTAACTACATGTATATACTTATTTACATTACTTATATTTTAATTGATATATTTTAAAAAATATATGAAGGTATGGATTTTAAAACTAATGTGTTTTAAAAAAATAAAGATTTAATGTTGTGTTTTCTATGATTTATGGAATGATTTTTCATAAATTAAAGAACTTTGAATGCTGTTTACTGTAATACAGGAGGTTTTTTTTTTTGTTGATTACTGAAAGCAAATTTCAATTTATAACATTAAAGAGTTGGTCTTGATTAGGAAGTATTTAAACGCATATTTTTTATAATTTTTCTTTTCAATCTAATGTTCAATGAGTTATTTTTTCTTATATTGCAGTTTTTACCTTCTTTCATTAATGTTCATTAGTAATGAAGCTTATTATTAATTGAAATTATATGGAAAAAAAATAGAGAGTGCAAAAAATGTAGACTGTCTTTGATTTAATTATTAACTTCATTCATGAATAAAGAAAAATATTTAGTGCTCTTAAATGTCGACAAATACCTAAATGTTTATTTCAGTGGTTTTAGCTGTTGTTGAGAAATTATAGAGTTGAAATAGAGTGTTATAACATTACAAATTTTGAAGCATTGCGCATTTTAGAAATCAGAAAACAGCATCCATTATTGCCATCATTAATTATCTCATCATTTGTTATATGATTGATTAATGGTATTCAGTCAATTTTATTTTATTAATAAGACTGAATGATACAGTGTAGTGCTTGATTTGCTTTTGAAGTTTAAGAGGCTTGTTAATGTTAAGAAACTCTAGTGCTTCTCAACATCTGAATTGGGATGATTATTAAAATTTATAAATTCGTCATTTGAACTGATTTCAGCTGGAAACTAAACAAAAAGTTGATGCCATAGCCTGTGTTAACCTTGTTTTTTTACTTGGTTTGTCCGGTGCAATAAATTGTGATCAGATTGTTTAGTTGAAAACATGTTTGGGTGTTTTCAAATTTAAAGACTTCCACTGTCAAAACGGAATTCTCCTCTCCCGTGTATTTTGCTTATAATATCTGCAATTCAACTTTACAGAAAATGACAGACTTGCTGATGAGGTACAGCAGGTACTCTATTCATATGTAAATAGGTGTTTAAATGTAAATGCAAGGCGGGGGGGGGGGGGATCGAATCCCCATATGATTCTTCTAGAAAAAATTAAAATCAAGCAGCATCTTCCAGAAATTAGGACTATATGTCCAAAATGTTTTACTGTATTGCCAAATATCACTCCCAAATTTTCTCCCAACAGAAGCAAATTAAAACTTGATTTAATTAAGAATATGACTCAGACAGACCCTCAAGAAACAGACTTAGTTGAATGTACTACATCCTCTTAAGAACAAAAGCTGAATAGAATGCCCTGCCATATCTATTTCAAAGTTTTTATTGCAATATGTTTCATAATCTCCCACTATGAATAAAATTCCACCAAACACTACATATTTGGGACCTAGGAATTGACACAAATGGGTCGCAACGCATATAATAATTTAATATAAATGTATATAAACTGATTTCCATTCAATCTGTTTTTACTCTAATTTCTAATCAGTTATGTTCGGCGAAATATGCCAGAAGTCTCAATCGAATGGCAATGTCTAGTGTCTGGTTATTCCAGTTTACACCGATAGTATTTATTGCGCATGTTCTCCAGAATAGAATATGGCATCACTGTTTGACATAACTTCTTGAATATGTCTAGCCTCATTCATCGAGTCCCTTGTTACAAATGTCGCTGAAAAGCATTATGTATGCTACACAATTCGTGTACCAATGGTAAAATGTTTATTTTGTCTTAAATATTGCATATCAGAAGCCCTTCATATATCGAAAACTTCGGATGATATTTGAGTTAGAGTTAATTAGCTACTTTAAACATGTTTGCACGAATACAACATGAAAACTATGTCCATGTAAAATATAACCAGAGAGATGGCTATTAATTGTGGGATATTTGACAGGCTTCATAAAGAAGATGTTTACATATCATTATTCCTCACACACAATCAATAATGTTACCAATATCCACACTCTTCAATATTGTTCTCAATATTTTTATAAAACTGGTCAAAATAAGTCAAGCTATTGATTTTGTAAATTTAATTAATAATAGATGAGCTAGGATTGGCATGAATCTATCATTGAACTTTTGGGTCAGACACAGTCAAACAGGCAAACATGGTTAATATTATTTAAATTCGAGATTTAAAAATAGTTTTGCCATATTTTCTAACTTAAAGCTCGTTGCCATTTTTCAGACAATATCTAATTTTCACAGCTTACATGTGTTTCATTATAAGACGTTCTCAAATTGATTATTTAACATTTAATTAAGAGATCAAAATATCAACGTAGATAATGTCCCGTCCTGGATCCATTTAGAGTTTAAAAAAATCAGGGAAGATTATATCGTCTGCAGAGGATGCCAAATATTAGCAAATTTTCAATTCATCGTATTTTTGTAAATACTAGAGAGAATTGAACCATTTTAGATATGTAAAAACAGATGAAATATGACTAAGTAAAGCAGCTTGTACAACAAAGTTAACAGTTACTTTCAAATTCCATAAAACTGTCCAAACTTATTGATTTTGTTGGTAAAGTTCCAGGTCCTGACTAAGTACCTTTCCATTTTTTGTAGTGTAAATAGGATTATCATAGCATTTCTAGGATCTGCCTGTACGCACCACATGTTAGCAACACTTATCAGTTGTTATTTGCAGACATATTTCTCAACACCCTTCCTATTAATAATCTGTGCATGTCTATCACATATTTCTAGTCACTTTAACAGAATCTCCTTACAAAAGTAATGGAGATTCCCTTGTTCATGGATCACTCTGTACTTGATAACAAAATCTAACATTTCCACTTGACTGCCTTTTGTTGACAATGCCTGCATCATAACAGAAGAATTCCATTAAAATCACGTAGCTGGGTTTTAGTTCCAGTAGATTTATTAGTAGGAAAACATGTCATTATGTCTGGCAAACCACTGTTTGATAATTATATTATGGAACTATTTTAATTCATCCATTATTTGTTTTTGAAAAGCTTGATAACTATATTTTAGATAATTTGATTTAACAATTTTGGACAGTGAAAAAATTATTTTGAGAAATAATACTGAATTATTGATCTACTAACCAAAGATAATAGAAAGGATGAATGTCATGTCGAATCTACATTTGAATTATTTTGAAAAGAACATGATTTTTTCTGGAAAGGTTGCTTGATCCAGCTTAGCAATTTATAAAGTTGGGGGGCTATGATTACCAAGTATTGGCATGAGCATGCAGATAATAACACATAGTGGATTTTCCAGGCCTAGTTTTCACTTTAAGGGGATGGTGTAATTGGTATTGACAGTGATGTGGAGGAAAGTATTAACATTCGTTAGATTAATACCTGTACACACATTGACATGCTCACAACCTGTAACAGTTGAAATTTGAAGAAAGTAAGTTAGAAACGTTACTGCCAGCAACGTTCTCCTTACATTGTACACATAACCAATGAAATGAGAATTTACTAAGCTAGTATTAAATGACAGAAGTATTGTGTTGTTAAACCCTATTAGAAAGTACAGGAGAACCACACAACACATAACGACCAAATGGAAAAACTTGTTACACATCCAATAATAAAATGAATAATAAATATACTATCAAATGAAGTTAATGAATCCGGGGGTCAGTCTTAAAGGAGCTAAACCTCTAACGCAATATTATCATAAAATTCAAAGTTAAAAACACAAATTAAAGTTCAATATTGGTCCATTTCAATCAATATTGGTGTTGTTATCTTCCAATGAAAATATGGGATCCTAATATCCAATATTTAAGACATAATGAACATTTTAAAATCTATAGTAATGGCTGAATCATAAATGACAAAATAATAATGAAAAACGTGGACTAAGCAGACATAAACAACTGCCACTCAATTTGGATTGTCCACACATTTCACCAAACATAATTGATGAGAAATTACAATAAAAAACTTAAAAATTGAATATAAATCATCATATTTACATTCATATTACATTAATATGAGCTTTTAGATCCATTTTTGTCTATTTTAAGGTTCCAAAGAATAGAATTATACGCTCTTTAAGTGTCCATTGTCCCAGTAATACAGGTTCACTGAAAACAAACCTGCAATGAATTAATCAAAAAACCCAAACCATTTCATGATTTTATTACAAAGTTATCAAATTAATCCAATACATTGGGGTATTTTAAAAGTAAAAAGCTCTTGAATTCATCCTGAGTTAAATGTTTGTTTAAATTGATCTAATCAATATAAAGCTTAGAAATGTGGTCGTGACTGGCATACAATAGTAAGCTGGTACAATAAATAAATGGAAAAAATTATGTGATCCTGTGGAGAAAGCAATTCATGCTGACAGTTTTAATCAGATTTTATTGAAGTTTCATTGATTTTTTAACAGAAAATATAAGATATAAAAAAGATCAGATTTACCGATATAGCTATTGTTAATTTTAAAGAGAGACTCCTGCCAAGATAGTAGTAAATTCTTTATATGTAGTAGTACCCATTGATCTTATATTCTCTTTGATTGGCTTATTAAGAAGAAAACTGCTTGTTAACAAGGAGAAGAATAAGAACTTCAAAAGATAGAATTATAATTAAAGAAATGCCACATGAAAATTATTACCGGTATTGGTTGATTTTTGAGAATGTCCTCATCAGGTTGATAGGGCATTGATTTACAATACCTAGTGCTTATCGATTCATCTTAAATCTCAACACTGACTCTACTAGACAGGAATATTCTTGACAAACAAATATCGGTTTCTTTTGTAATACTTTAGACTTGCAAATTGTAGAAAACTTCATAAGATATTTTAGCTACATTGTTTGAATATTTATGAAAAGATTTTTATAAGAGAATATTAATATGAAAGATGTCATATTTTTGAAAATGACTTGTGTGGCATAATCAATATTTAACATGAATTATCAATTTGTAATAGAGTATTGTTCTGATAACTTTATCTTATTTTCTTTGTTGCTGAATACATTTTAATGGGTTGAATGTTTTTATAATGCATTGATTAGGCCATTATAACAAATTGGACAGTCTGTTATAGCATGTTGTTCAATCATTAATTATAATAGATTAAGTGTGTTATAACATATTGCACACTCCACTATAACACACTATGAAAAAAAAAAGCCCAAAAAACTCCTAACAACCCCCCAAATCAATGTTTGCAATGTGATAGCATCAACTAAATGATCGGCCCTGAAAAAAAAGGATGTACCACACCTGAAAACATGACATACCAATTAGAGAGATTAAGTAAATGGACTAAATTCACAAAATACTGCATGGGGGGTATGATATAGTCCCTCTCATTCCAAATTGTTAAGAGTTGTACTATATTACTGTATCTCTGATTCCGAATTATAAAAGTTCATTCTACACACAATTAAGTAAATGGACTAAATTCACAAAATACTGCATGGGAGGTATGATATATTCCCTCTCATTCCGAATTGTTAAGAGTTGTACTATATTACTGTATCTCTGATTCCGAATTATAAAAGTTCATTCTACACACACAATGTACATGTACATGCAAGTTGAGGAGCTGATTTGTAATTGTGCAGGATTTGGGTTATTTATGTTAACAGTGACTTGGGAGCTATCAGTCTGTATCTGTACTTATACTAATAAGGCTTATTTATTAAATGGTTTGGGTACATTGTATTATCTGTTTACACAATCAGTGACCAAGATGATTGATTTCTGGTTTCTGTCTCATCTAAATTCACACTCAGTATAGCATAATGACCGCTATGTTATATATGATTGGTCAATATAATGTACAGTTATTCCGACAAGTTGACTAGAACTGAACTGTAAAATGAAAACTACATTACAGACATAAAGTTCTGAATATTTTGGCAATATTACCCATGTCCACGTTTTGTGCTTGTGTTTGGATTTCTTTATTGATGAAAACTCATCGAAAAAATGAAATGAGGTTTAACATCCTACTGTTCTGTCCTGACTGGACTAATGAAAAAGGGCATATGTTATGAAGTGTACTATGTGTGAAATTTTTATCCAGACAGCGCTGCTACGGCCTACTCTTAGATAAGATTCCAACTGCCAAGGGATCTTTTACGTGCATGCCATTGTGTACAAGGGACCTCGTTTTTTTTGTCCCATCTGAATGACTAGACAGCTGTTCTTGTCAGGCCCTCCGTCCTGCACCACAGACCAGGGGAGACCATGCCAGGAAATCTTGATGATTTTTCTCGGCCAACACTGGGAGTGTACCTGCAACCTCCAGTCTAGCGAGCCAGGGGTCTTACTCACTTAGCAATGGTGGCTCCCAAAAACTCATCGATGATGCAATATCTATCATTCATTGATGCTTCATGCAATTGTGAATGATAACATTGCACAATGTATGTCTTGGGAAACATCCATCAATTGCCTTTGACTGTTGCCATCAAACATAAAATTATTTTGTCATGAAATCCATGCAAAATATTTATTATCGTTGATTAATAGATTTTCAGATGTATATTAGTCCAACATATATATTTCACAACCATTATAATTATAACTACATGTAGATGTTATTTTCATTCCCTTTTCTAAGTTAGTCACGGCATTAAGATCTAAGACATGTTCAAGTAAAATATGTTCTTGTTACGACCACATAGTAGTAGTGCCTTTTGATTTTGTTAAGGCGGCCAATCAAATATCAGGATAACCAAAGCCTTTCATTCACAACTTGCGCATCACTTGATGAGAAGTGGAGTAACAGGTAAAAGAAACATAAAGAAGTTTATATATTATAATTATAATTAGACTATGTACGTGGATGTACTATGATAAATAAAAATATAATTTTCTTCTTTACATTTTTCAGGATGTTATGTTATCAGCAACAAGTACCCAGTCACCGCTGGCCTCCCAATCATCAGTTTTTACCATGCCCTCCGTTTCTCTACCGGGAGTATCTATGGCAAATAACACGCACCTGGGACTGACAGATCATCTATTCATGTCATCCGTATCAGTCGGGGATACAGCTACTACTTCATCATTATCAGATACCAGCACTAAAGGTGAACAATACTCTTCAACTTCTTTTCTTTTATATACAGCTGTGTCAAGATGACTTGACTATATTGATTTGCTTTTATAGTCAATGGCAGGGATTCTTCTTTCTTTCTTTCTTCTTTCTCTGTTTACGCCAAAATTGCATGCTAGAAGTTTATTAGAAAGCTTGAGGTATTTTTTTATAAATCTTGTTTGAATTGGTCCATAAGTAAATGGTGTTGTTGAAATTATAGTGACGTTTCCATGGTTGTTGAATATCAACTTCGAATATCAACAACCGTGGGCTTATAATCAATTGACAAGATTAGCCATTTTGAACAAAAAAAGTGGCTTGATTTATGGTCCTGTAATGAACTGTCTTGTGTCATAGACATTAAATCCCATTTCATTTTCTCTGTAGACATTTATCATGGAGGTGCATGCAATATGTAAGGTGAAATCGTTTAGATGGTATGAAAAACTGAGGTGCTCCTGTATGTTTACTGGTTGGAGTGTACATAATAGAACCCTTTATATTTATGTTTGTGTTTAATATGAACACTATTGAAACACTGTATCTTATGTTTTCACGACAAACCGATTATGGCTAATCAATTTGTAAATCCTATTCAAACACAATCTGATTGAAATACAGATCTATATTTCGTTTGTTTTTTTTTATACTTTCGATGGCCTACACTATATAACACCTCTTCCAGATCCTAGTGTAGTAAAGACAAGTAAACGAAATTTTGAACTATAAAAAACAAAACGAAATATGATCTATGTTTTAATGAGATTGATTCAAACACATTTACAGCAAAAATTAGCCTAATCAGTTTCATCTAATTGTTGTATTGACCACGACGATTTGCCAAATCGATTATGAAAATCTTGTAACTGGCTCGCCTACCGGATTGACAATTCGATTTTTAAGATGGCGTCCCCCACAAGCGACACAACGTGCCTACATTAGTTCATTTTCTTATGAAGTTTACGTTAAAATATGAATATCATGGACATTCCTAATACGAATACGAGACATTTGGGAACAGTCAACACTGGTACAACTTCTCGTTTTTATTTTTTGGTGGTGTCTTCAAGAACAGAATAAAGAAAATGAATTGTTTAACATTTTTCCTGAATTCTTCAGTCTCCAGCCATATTAGGAGGCAACTCGGCACGTTCACAAGAACCAAATCGAATATCAACTCGAGACCTACATCATGTACACAACGAGATAGGTAATCGAAACCGATTTGTTTTCTCGTAAACCGGTGCCACATCGCAATTGTATTGCCGTAGGTACATATCACTTACCGTCATACATCCCAGGCTAGATGTAGGGTACCGGAATCTGCCGAGGTTTGCTGAATGAAAACTGTGCTATAACCTTGACCAATAAGGACCGTATTTTTAAAACTGACTTGTCTGTGACATACTAATTGAATAGAAGCATTTCAGATTTTTCAAGATGTGTTAAGTTTGTGTCCTGTCTTTTGAACTGAGTACCAACAACTAAGTAATTTATATATTTCAGGCTTATTATCGTCATTATCTGGTCATACGCAGCTATTAGGTCAACCCCAGGTGGCACCACAGTTTTTTATTGCTGGTCAGTCGGCGGCAGCAGGGGCAGCAGGTGCTGCAGGGGCAACAGCTTCACAATTAGGTGTACAACAACTACTTATACCAGTTTCAACAGGTCAGTATTGGTTTTAACTCAGCACAGGGTTTATCAGATTTTCACAGATACAATGGTGAGACAAAGTTGTAGTCTTCTAGATTAAAGTGACACCAAACGACATGAAAAAAATATTCATTTAGATGAAAGGGACACCAAAAAAATATTCCAGTTCTCAGGCAATTCTTCCTAAAAATCTGAGACGGAAGGGGGGATTTTGTTGTTGAGTTTCTATTTTGTCAAAGCATCACTACTGGGCTAAATAACTTCTTATTAACATCATCAAGGCACTGCATTTATCTTATCATGCTGTTGGATGTATTGTATGATTATCCAGTATCATTTATGATTGTCAATTACATTTATCACAGTTACATATTTGATAATTGATCTTACGGTACAATTACAATTTTAAAAAAATTTATAGCATTACTTCCGGTGTAACCCGGGGAAAACAATTATGTGCCATGATCAATAAGACCATATTTATTTTTTCATTTTTTAGAAATAAAAATAGGTCATGAGACTCTTTTTAAATAAAGCTGGGTCCGATTCCTAGAAAATTCTTAAGCACATTCTTGTGCTTAGATTTAAGTAGACTTCGCATTCAAGTAAACTAACCTTATTTTGTGTTCCCAGAAAATTCTTAAGAACGTTCTTGTGCTTAGATTTTAAGTAGACTTCATTGTAGGCACAAGAACGTTATTATGCGTTCCAAGAAAAAACTTGAGCACAACTTCGTTCTTAAATATAGTCAATCTAAGCACAAGTCCCAAGCAAAGTATACGGCTTGCTTACCAACCTTATGTCTGTTTCCATTCAAAAAAGATGGCTGACCGTACAGTTATTCGACGGCATTTCCGACACCTTTTGATACTAAAGAGACAATTACAAAACAGAGAAAATCCTTCTCCAGAAGAAATTAAGAATAGTCTACTAGTACGCCTATAGAAAATTTTGCTTAGACCCTGAAACCATTTTATTTATTTGTCAATTAGTAAACAATAGGCTACAAACACACGGGCTACTTAAGATCAGGCGCTCTCACATATATTCAGTTAGTTTGTATGTGTCTGCGGTTTTTTTTATCTTGTGGCACATTTTATATGTGTATAGGGGACATGTCATATGCATCTAAATCAACCATATAAATACAAATTTATGACGTAATTCACATACCAAAGTTGTTTTTGTGACGTTAAAGAGCATTGTAGTCTCAGTTTATGGTAAACTTTACCAGTCACAATGTGCTTAGACTTATACTTGGCTTGTGCTTACGTAAGGATGGTCTTGAGAATTTTCTAGGGACGGTATTTTTATAAATTTCTTACGTAAGAAAAAGTGAAGCATGACTTAGTGAAGCATGACTTTGTGCTGACTTTAAGAATTTTCTAGGAACCGGGCCCAGGATTTTCTGAGAACCAGAACATTTATTTTTATTTGACCTTTGTGACTGAAATAAGAATATTTCTCTAGGGACTGAGACTATAATAAAGAGAAAGAAACACAAACTTTCTTCAGTTTCTCGCATGTTCATTTAATTCCTAATAAAACTGATATGGAAAATAAACTTTATAAAATTGGGTCTTGAGTTGGACGGGATCTGGGCTTAAAGATTTTTCTAGGAACAAGCCCCTTAGGCCCTTACTATAACTTGATTATATTTTTCCCAGTCTGTAAATAATTTGATATTGTCCTAATTATATTTTTTAAGAAAAGATTGGTAATATCATACCATATTGAAATGTGCCAAGGATGTCAATTAAAGCAATCTAGAGTTCATATCGTGTGCACAGCTCATGTGGAGTTTCAGATGAAAGGTTCTGTCAATGAAAACGAGTGAACTTTGAATATTCTTAATTAAATTGAAGGTGTAGTGCATACATCCAATGGTCACAACGATCAAGTATTATTCACTTCAGAATCAACTTGTAAGTGTGTATGTTCCTATTAGTAATTTGTTCTTGCTCTTTTTTACAGGAAATGGAGCCCAACAATTTATTAGTATACCAGTTTCTATGGCAATGGGCGGTAACCAACAGATACAGTTATTAACCACATCTAATGGTCAAATGTTAGCTACAAATTTAGCAAGTTTAGGAGCATTGGCACAACCACTCAGTCTTGGGTTACCAGGTAATCTTTTAAACCCTAAAAAACTTTCTTAAAGACGTGGTATCAGGTGTTCTAGAAAGAGCACCGATCATTATTTAATGCAGATATTGACCAATCATTTGTATGGAATATTTACTGAAAATATTTGTTTATATTTTTCAGTTGGTTCTAGTGCGTCTGCTGGTCATCATGCATTAAGTAGTGCTGCTATAACTAGTCAATTAGCAGCCGCACTTCCACAATTATTAGCAGCTGGTTCACATAGTCAATTACTAGCCGTCTCACCACAGGTTGCTGGTTTAAGTAAAGTAAGTCATTATAAATTATAGAGTGTTATATTAACTATTTGGTTAGTTATAAAATGAAGAATTAGAAAGACTGATTGTGAATAGTTAGGACATAATTCACCATTTACTTACTGCTAAAGGAACTAAGTACTTTATGATTGACAGCTAGGTCTGCTGACCTTAAATTAAGTTGTTAAGGTGCTGGTGTTATAGCACATTGATGGCAGAGCTTTTTTTTTTATTTATGTTATTTTTAAGGATCTAAATTTATATTTAAGAACATATCGAAATGTAAATTTGAGAATCATTGGTATATTGAAATAGGTAGTTATAACCCACCATGGGTGGTTAAGGACAGTGAGATAATATCTGTTTAAATTTTGGCAGGTTTTATCACCAGTGGTATCTCATAGTCATTCCACATCATCTAGTCAATCAGCTGCAGCTAGTGCTAACAACCATTCTACATCCACTGTCAACCATACCAATCCATCAACTAATAACTCATTACAACAAACTTTAACACAAGCTGTAGCAGGCGGTCATGCAACCGTTGTCGCGGCAACCACACCACGTAACCCACCAGCAGCAGTTACACCAATAACAACCAGTAATGGACTTCCTCCCAGTATCAACCAATTATTACCAAGTAAATATTGAAATTATACTTAATATGTTTTCATTTGCTGAAAGAGCCATTTTGTAAAATATATTTTGGGTATATTAAAATAATTTTATGTATTGGTATTCAATTAATGTAAATAGTAGATTGTTTTAATACATCATTAAAATCTCAGAACTTATAAATGGTCATTGACAGTAAGATACATAGAATTTGTAGAAAATGTGCTTAAATTGTCATTTATGAGCTATTCAGTGTCTTTTAGTTTTATTATTAGTGAGGGTTGAGTTGTCTAAAATGTGCTCTTTAAATCATGTGGTTTTGATCTCAAGCTTTACGCCTAATTTACATGGATAACAGACAGTTTTCTACATAACTACTAAAGTTATACGTCAGTGATTTTAAAACAAAATTCCATTTGTTCTTTTACAAATAAATACTACTGTAGGAAATGGCTACGTTCGAATGATATTTTTTGAAAAAATCTGCTTTTGTCTTATTTTTTGACTGAATGAATAAGTAAATATACAGTCTTTATAATCATGGAAACAGACTATTTATCTCTTCCAGATACAGTGGGTAATTCTACTGAAAGTACCACAGTTGATGGAATTAATTTAGATGAGATTAAAGAGTTTGCACGACAGTTTAAGATCCGGCGGTTATCGCTAGGATTAACACAGACGCAAGTAGGGCAAGCTTTAAGTGCTACAGAAGGACCTGCATACAGTCAGTCGGCCATTTGTAGGTAAGGATAAAAGCCATAAATGTCAGCATGACCATCGTAGAATTGTGACGTCCTCTCAAAAATTGATGCGCATTTGTACCAAGAACAAGTCTGCCAAGTTTGTTGTCAATGGGTAGGGGGCTTGGCTTTTTGATAAAGAATATTATCAAGGGTATGCAAATGGTTCTCTGTTCAACAATTGCATTGAATAAGAAGGTCAAAGGAGGTAATTTAGTTTAGCCTACCAGCATCCTAGAAATTATTAACTTGTACTGGTAAGCCTACCATCTGTGCCACTAAATTTGATATTCTGTCAATTCGAAATGTTTAAGACCCATGATTGAGAAGCCACATTGATAGGCAAGTGAATGAAAGAATGGCTATATTATCTTTAATCAACTGGACAACTGTTTTAGAAGAGCAAAACAAACAGTAAATAGAGCCAGTTTAAGACTGATTAATATTGTAATTATAGTCTATACAATGTTATTTTTTGTTCAGGTTTGAGAAGTTAGACATTACTCCAAAAAGTGCACAAAAAATCAAACCAGTGTTAGAACGATGGATGATGGAAGCTGAAGAAAGATATAAAAATGGAGTCGATAATCTCACAGATTTTATTGGTAGCGAACCATCCAAAAAACGCAAAAGACGCACATCTTTTACACCACAAGCTCTTGATGTATTAAATCAGTACTTTGAGAGAAATACACATCCCTCTGGTTAGTAAAAATTTGCATAACTTGTTTGGTTTTTCCAAGTAAATAAGATCTTAGTGTTACCAGTTGTAAGAGAACCCAGTTTATTGCTGGATAGTTGAATGGAACAGGCTTTTTGTACACTCAAAGTAATTTAAGAATTTAAATCGGTTCCATCCTTTAGATTTTCAGATGCTTCGAGACATTAGAAAAATCAGATAGAATTGTGTCATTTATTTCTACGAAGTCTTCAAAATTTAATTTTTCTTGTTCTGTTACCTTGACCATTGAACTTTGTAATAACCAGTTCATTGCTGTTGGAACCAGTAAATACTGTAAGCTAAAATCCTGCATATTATTTACTGGGAGATAACTCTATTTAGTGATATAGTCCGGCAGAACTATGGCTGAACCTGGAAATTGTATACAAAGGTTTTTTTTATGATTGATTTTAGTTGCCAAGGGTGTCCTCTTTCAGAATCTGCCGGGTGAACCTGTGTCACCCTTGAGCATTTTTGAGAAACTTAAGATGGCCTCCAAGACGGCCGCCATTCCAAATGATCCCCTATAACTCACATAGTATTTTGGTGTCAAACCATATGTTTTTGGAGCTAAGGAATACACTGAAATCGTTCATTATGACTGTCAAACATAGTCTCGTTTGTCAACACAGAGCCTAATTTTCAATTTTACCAATTTATGAAAATGTTTTATTCTTTAGGTGCAGAAATGACGGATTTATCAGAAAAATTAAACTACGATCGTGAAGTGATTAGAGTGTGGTTCTGCAATAAAAGACAGGCATTAAAAAATACAATAAAAAAACTCAAACATGATACACCATAGAAACATGGTTGTCTACGCTAAGTAAACATAGTTAACTTTGTTAATTTATATATTTATTGTGACACTGTTGCTTTATTTGTTATGACTTTTTGTCATTGTGAGACTACCAAAAGAAAAAACAAGAAATAGTGAAGATTTGTGTAATTGTAAAATTCCAAGGCACATGTGAAATTTAACGAGTATAGTGTTATCCGTGTTGGAATATGTTTCTTTTTTTACATCAGTGATATCAAAAGACATTTATGTTTATGTTTATCAAAACAGAAAATATTAACAGTATAGTACCGTTTATAGCCACTGAATCAAATCTTGGAACAATGAAAAGTGCTGTGATCATGGAGGTATGGAATCTCAAAATTAAAAATCAAAATTGTGATCACAAAGTTGGGGATCAAACAGAAGATTAATAAAGATTAGATGTAGCTGAAAGTCTTAGAACAGAAATCTTTGAAATCCAGAAAATATACAGGAAGATTGTGTAAAATGGCCATTGGTATTAGATGAATTTATTGTATTTTCCCGCCAAAATCTTTTAGACATTGTCATTTTTCAGTGCTTGTTAGATTGTTTAGACAGGGCTCATACGTAAAAAAAACTTAGATAAAAGCACAATAAGTAATTGTGAAAGAGGCATAATATCTTATAGTCATTGTATAATAATCATTGTTTAGTGCTACTAATGTTTATTATCTATAGTAAATCACAAACGGTTAAATTTCCTACATATACAAATATAAATACTATTGTTTATGTCCTTAATTAAGTTTAAAAACAAAAGCAATTATTAATAATTATGTTGCATATCATTTCAATTAATTTGACCTGCAGAAGGTTGTTTATTCACTACTTTATGGCTACAATTTTATTGATCTTTCTTTCAAGGTTAATTACATGATTAAATGTAGCAACATCTTGTTTTATTATAGATTTATTGTTGTCTTATATTAGGTTCCATACCAGGATTAATGTTGTTCTCTGTTTTATTTTTTAAGTTTTTAATTTTACTTTAGCTTTATTCTATTGTTCTCATCCATTTATTTCTGTTCTTTAGTTTGACTTTTTTACTAGCCTACAATTATCCTCTGTTTTACCTTTTACATTTGACTTAATAACCAGCTATAGCCTACCATTGTCCTCTGTCTTTAATTGGATGATGTGTCTGTGAAACACATGGTTTATTGTATATATCTTCTGTAACTGGAGAGAATTTTGATGATTAAGTTTAAATACTGTGATTTGTACCCAGAATAACCCTTACTCTGTAATTATTATAAGTTTGTATGAAAATGAATTAGCATACAGAAGGCCTATAGTTTACAAGAAGCGCAGAATCTGATTTTTTGCTGAGACTCCCGAGTCCCACAGATCTAGACATCATGGTCCTTTAATATCCTTACAAATTATTTAACAAATTTTCAAAAATTTTAATGTTGAGTTATTGTGAAAAGTATTTTTGGATTCTTACCGATTGTAGTCAGGAGTTCTTAAAAAGTTTTTGATTTTTAGGCTTGCATGAAATATCTCCCTTACATGTCATACAAAATAATGATGTCTTACAGTTTGGATTATTCTGGTAACAGATTCATTCTAAGAATTAATTATATTCTATTTATTTTTGTAAGAATTTATACCTTTACTCTCTATGTGCTGTCTTTTTTATTGCTTGCCAAGGCTATTCCAACAATCTGATTAAAATACAGATCTATATTTCGTTTCATATTTTTATACGTTCAATGGCTCTCTACTACATGAAGATCTGACCAGTTGTAGTGGAAGGTCGCATCAGAGGTTATACGAGCGGCTTTTAACTGTATGATGTCAGGCATTTGATGAACCAATCAGTGTAGATGTTTCTAGTGGGTTACCCACAGTTCCGTGCACCTCACGACAAAAACTCGCCGTAACAGACCATTTCATTTGCTAATTCCTCACATCATTATATAACAACTCTTCCAGATCCTAGTGTAGTAAAGACAAGCAAAACGAAATTTTGAACTATAAAAAAAACGAAACGAAATAGAATCTGTGTTTTAATCAGATTGCTATTCCAAATACCTGCTAATTATTTTTAAGAAATCATTGATTTGTAAATCCAGGTAGTATAACCATAGTTAAATAATCTAAAAAAAATACCCTTTTGTGATTTACTATAGATATTGACTACCTAGCTTGATCACTGCTGTACAAATATTCAAACGATTGTTTTATGTACATGAAATTATGTAATCTTGTTGTGTTTACTGTTATAGATAGCTCTATATATAAAAACTCATTCTAAAACAACAACTCATTGCCAAAGTCCAAATTATATCCTTTTTGTAAAATGTCAAAGTTTTTGTATAACAAAAACAATTAATATATTGAAGAATTTCCATGAGACAATGGGGAAGAAATACATGTAGGTCTACTTCAAGACGACTTGTAATAATCATTTTAATCATTCATAATTTAAAATTGTGATGTTCATAAAACTAACCATCATGATTTTTTTGATCAAATCTTGTCTACAACTATAATAAATTAAATGACAAGAAAATATTATAAAGAGTAAAATTTATAGTTTGTATTGTTATATTGTTTAAAAACTACAGGGTCCATATACAATTCATAGTTTATTATTGATAATAATATAAACTCATTTATAAGGGTGGATTAAAAGGTAACAGCCTGAAAACAAGTTTTCGACCAAATTTAATTCTGATGTTTGAAAATGTACAAGATCTTATATAGCACATATTTGTGGAGTATTAATTATTTTTATTTTTATTGGTAATGGAAGAGTTATGACTGGTACTGCACTGAGATCTAAATATAGGTATTAGACTTCTGGGTATCATGCACAATGCAGGGTTTGATTATCATTGCCAAAACACCCAATGTTATTTCTTTGCATTTTATTCTTTTAAGAAGTTACACTTTATTTATGATTCACTATGATACAAGCATCTGTATTATGTTATTTCTGATCTTAACTAATAACAGTCCCTCGGCTGAAAGCCCTTATATCCACCCCTAATGATATTATAATACTTGTTGATGTGCATAAAGATGTAATAATTGAATAATATTATTAATATTTAACGAATAAGCTAAGGTTTCCCCATATTTATATAAAAAGGTATAACTATGGACTGTTAAATTGTTGGTTTTAGGTCAATGTCCACCAAGGGTGACAATTAAAATAGTAGAAATAGAATCTGAAGTGAATGGTACTTTCAAAGCAAAATATGTCGGCTAAGAAAGAAATCGAAATCCGCATGAAGTCTTGAGGTGTGACATGATTACAAACAATTCTTGTCCTACAGTTGGTTAAACAACTTAAATAAAGAATTGTTTTGAAAACTGATCTAGAAAATAGTATGTTCTTTCTCTTTTTGCATGTGAAAAAAAAAAGGTGTAATCTTTGTAGTTGTCTCTTTTGGTGGACGTTGTATTCATTCCATAACACTTTAATTTCATGTTTTACAGTATTTTTTGCAAGACACAGAACCCACTGATTCACAAGCAATCTGCTGTGACACCCGAATGTCTGAAATCTTTAAATAAATAACTTTAGAATCTAATTTAACATAATTGTTGGGACATTATTGGGACATCTAAGAACTCAATTCTAGTTTTTAAAATAAGTACATAATTTATTAATCTGAAAGATTTTGACACAAATGTAAACCTTTCGTCTACATTTAACCTATACACATATTTATGGGTAATTATCACATATCAATTTACTTACTTTAAGAACACTGTACTAAATATCTACATGAAAACAAAATTATTGTACAACTATTTCTAAGTATTTATATAAAAGAAATACTCTTAATTTTGTTTCTGGAGATCTGGGTGCACTTTTGACAAGATGGCATGAAAAATAACATGCGTATTAAATAATGATAATTAATTTGTATAAAATATTTGTATTTTATAATGATTGACAACCAATGTATATTGAAGTTGTATGTTTTATATATAAGTTTTATATTGGAGCAGTTAGAGAGGATTATCTAAATTGTCCTCCTTTTCATACACTAGCGAATGTGTACACATACATGTACCGGTATTGCTGGTGTTGCAATACGATGGGGTTTCTTTTTGCATCATATCTTACTCAAATACAGAGTGTTGCAATGGACACTCAACTTGCCCCAGTATTATATATATTAATTTTATGGCATCTGAAGGAGGACAATTTTTGATGATCACTTTAATTCAGTTCTGAATGGAACTAAATTGTTTGTTGTTATATTGCTTTTTGTTATTTTGATATTTATAAAATATGTTGCAGCTTTAAACTGAAATTTTGTAATTTAAAAAAAAAAAGAAAACATTTTTTTATAATGTATTTTAGTCATGTTACACATTAAAACAGCAATTATAGAATTCATCTGATGAATATTCATAATATCACCCAGGCAATATCAAAATCAAATTGATATTATTTGCCCAAATTCATCTTCATCTGTCACCATTGTTTGTGTATTTATTATCATTTATTTGTTGTAAACGTCACTTTGTTATGAATATTTAAAGATGTCTGTCAGTTTTATCTTTTAAAAGTCTTTTTATTTAAATTTGAAATCCTATCAAAGCCAAGCTTGAACTTTGTCACAATTAATAGGTTTGAAGAAATCAAAAGCATAACTATGATTTTCTATTCCTTAGAAAAAGTTCCTTCTGTTTTAAATAGTGCTGATATTATTATTTATATCATTTAATATATAGTATTTACAGTGTTTTATGTTTATTTGTTTATTGCTGTACTTTAAGTAGTTTAGTATCTTTTTATATAAATGTATGAATGTTATTTATGATTGACAGATATTTCATTTTCATATCCAGTCATGTTTCAAACTTTAGAGAGAGACATTTGTATACATTTTGTGTAACACTGTTGTCTCTTTACAAAAAGATCTGGAAAACCATTACAGATCTATTTCCTAATTTTATATTTGTTAATTCAGAAAATTAACTGAATAGTTAACCATTTATTATCAAATGTGTTCATGCCATATCATTCACACAGGTTAAATCATTAAATGCAATTATATAGGAAGAGTCAAAATAGTTAAATTACATAGTTAACATATAGTAGTAAACCAACTGACTGTTTCATCAAGGTTCCTGATTTTTCAATTAATGATGTAGATATAGTCACCATGGCTGGACACATGTATTGTCACGTGGCGTTGATGTTATTTCTGAGCAAATGAACACCATATTTCTACACCTCACAGTTTAGGCTAAACAATATAAGCTATTAATTAAAATTTTATGACAACTGTCTCATTGCCCCCTTATATAACTACAAATTGTGTTATTAAGTCAATAACGTTCAGGCTGCTAAACTACTGCCAATCGGATTGATGATATTTAAATTCCAGTCTCAAAATGTTTTGTACAACCATGTGGGCATACGACAAGCAAATATATCAGAGTTACTTCCCTTACACAAATTCAGTTGGGTTGAAAAAGTCAATTAGAATGAAAGGTTTTACATTTTTTATTGGTCTACCAGACATCTATAACACCTTGGAAATGTAATAAGAGAAAGTAAATAGGGTTGTCTTACAGTTTGGTAGTTTGTTACTTAATATATTAATAAATGTGTTGTTGGTTTTTTTTTACTAT